GGGGGGGGGGGTGAGAGTGGAAAAAAAAATCCCACCTTTTTTGGGGGGCGTTTCCCCGGGCAGCCCAAGTTCACATAAGTCCTCGACTTAACGACGGTGATTGAGCCCACGATTATCGTTCCTAAGTCGTGCTGGCCGCCAGCTGGCTGACCGCACAACCGTGCCTGCTTTTGTGAGCGGCTTTTTTTGAGACGGTCGTTCAGCGGGTCACCGGTCGTTAAGCGAATCCGTTGTCCAAAAGGGTCATTTTTTTTTTTATTTGATTTTTGGGGGGTTGGAAAACCAGGAAGCAAATGAAGGTTTCCGGCAAAAACCGCCATACACGCCATTGCGGAGTGTGTGACCGTATCACACACAAGTGTGTGTGTGTGTGTGTGTGTGTGTGTGTCATCGTGACTGTCGGAATTTCAAACCTGGGTCCGTAAGTCCAGGTAGCCCTCGACTTAACGACCGCAATCGACCCCCAAATTTCCGTCGTTAAGTGCGTTTTGCCCCATTTTACGACCACTGTGAAGTGAATTCCTGCGGTGGCTCGGTTAGTGACGCGGTCATTAAATGGATCCGGCCTCCCCCTTAACTTTGCTCATCGGACGGTCGCGAAAGAGGGGTGACAGGAGCCTAGGACACTGCAACCGTCACAAATACGAGTCAGTTGCCAAGCCTCTGAATTTTGATCACGTGACCACAGGGGGATGCCACAACAGTCGTAAGTGTGAAAAAGGGTCCTAGGTCACATTTTCAGTGCTGTTGCAAATTTGAACGGTCACTAAATGAACTCTTGTAGTCTAGGATTAGTTGTGTCCCCCAGGTAGGGACTCTGGACCGTCACTAAATGAACTCTTGTGAGTCCAGGATTAGTTGTGTCCCCCAGGTAGGGACTCTGGACCGTCACTAAGCGAACTCTTGTGAGTCCAGGTATAACTGTGTCCCCCAGGTAGGAACTCTGGACCGTCACTAAATGAACTCTTGTGAGTCCAGGTGTAACTGTGTCCCCCAGGTAGGGATTCTGGACCGTCACTAAACGAACTCTTGTGAGTCCAGGATTAGTTGTGTCCCCCAGGTAGGGACTCTGGACCGTCACTAAACGAACTCTTGTGAGTCCAGGATTAGTTGTGTCCCCCAGGTAGGGACTCTGGACCGTCACTAAACGAACTCTTGTGAGTCCAGGATTAGTTGTGTCCCCCCGGTAGGAACTCTGGACCATCACTAAACGAGCTCTCGTGAGTCCAGGACTCTCTCGCGCCTGTCTGCGCAAAGACACAAGCTTGTCCAGTGAAGAACGCCCCTCTCTGGGGACGATGCGGTTTGCGTCCCTTTGTCCCAGTTGTGGGTTTCGCCCTCTTTGTGCAGAAGCCCTGCCTCCGGAGCCGGATCTCCTTGTCCGGCGTGACCGAGGAGATGTGGACGGACGAACACCTGGCTGCGATGGACCAGTTCCTGAAGGACGTCAGCCAGACCATGTTGGTCTTTTACGTTGACGACTACGCCGGGTTGAAAGTGGAGCCGGTCATGCCCCATCAGGTGGGCTTCTCCCTTTGGGATCTGGGGGCGGGGGCGAAATAAAACCGGGATGAAGTTTTCCTTCGAGAACCCCACAAAACAAACCAGGTTGTGCCCATCCGGGTTACTACTGGGTCAAGCAGAGGCTTCCCCAAGGACTCTGTCAGGAGGCACGTTTTGGTGGTCTCCAGAGGTCTCGTCCTAGCACAGCTTATCCCCCAGCCTTAGCAACGTTAAGCTGCGTGGACTTCAACTCCCAGAATCCCCCCAGCCAGCACGGGGGAATGCTGGATGGGGAAAGCTGTAATTTCCTTTGCATATCAAACCATGTGGATCCGTTGAGTTTATTGTTGGGTCAAGCAGAGGCTTCCATAAAGATTATCAGGCGAGATAGATTAGATAGATAGATAGATAGATAGATAGATAGATAGATAGATAGATAGATAGATAGATAGATAGATAGATAGATAGATAGATAGATAGATAGATAGATAGATAGATAGATAGATAGATAGATAGATAGATAGATAGATAGATAGATCATAGAGGGATAGATAGATAGACAGACAGACAGACAGACAAGATACATGATAGATAAGAGATAATAGAGATAGATGATTGATAGATGATAGACACATGATAAGGATAATAGACGATAGATGAGATAGATAGATAGATAGATAGATAGATAGATAGATAGATAGATAGATAGATAGAATACATGATAAAGAGATAATAGAGATAGATGATAGATAGATAGATAGATAGATAGATAGATAGATAGATAGATAGATAGAATACATGATAAAGAGATAAAAGAGATAGA